CTAAAGTCATGTTCTTCACTTGCATTTGAAGTTTGTTAACATGTAATGCACGAAAAGGAAGTAAAAACACATTTTAATTTAGATTTATTTCCTGTCAGATGAGCTCTTTTGTTGTTCCTTTCTGAAATTGCTTGCTTTGGAGGACATTTGACACACAAGGAAAAGCTTTTTGTTGTTAATTCTTTACCGTACAGCACTCTGCAGTAGATCTGTGGAAATTATTGATTGCAGTTTATGCACATGACTTCTGTTGAAATGCAAAAAAAAAAAAAAAAAAAAAATTCCCTGCTGAAAAAATGCAAGCAAAGGGAGCCAAATAAAATTGCCATCCATATACCTTTTGTGAAGTTTTCACTTCATCTGACTTAACTGGATTGTTGTGCAATCAAACTTTTTTGTTGGTATGTGTACAGTCAGCTAGGGGGTTGCCTTTTAAAATCTACCATCTGAAAACATACTTTAGTTTTCTGTCTAATCCTATTCATATGACAAGGCTATTCATCAGCTTTGGAATGAACGGTATAGAAATTATTGACTAAAGGCAAAAAGAAAATAAACTAGCTGGTGTTGGCAATCCTGGTGACTTTTATTTTGAATGTGAGGTATCTAAGAGGGTGAATCAGAGTAAAAACAGGTTTTTGGAATATCTTTCTTTGACCAGGAATGGTAGTGGTCATCACAATTGTACTGCAGGAAATGTCATTTTTAACGCCTAGTGCTCCTGGCGGAATTGTGGTGAAATGTTAAGAATAAAACTTCTTCTCACTCTAGTTTAATTCTTCTTTGTAATTCAACTTTTTGATTCCAGATTCCTAGAAAGTCTAAATTGGCTGTTCACAGAAATATCCGAGATGATGAAGGCTTTATTATCCGACATTTTGCAGGAGCAGTATGCTATGAAACGGTAATTTTACTTACGCAAAACTATTCTTGTTATGCTTTGTAGAAGCTTTTTGTTTGCTTTAAATAACAAAATCTCCTTTCATCAGAAGAGAAATTCAAAAGTCAATGTGCCTTGGCTTTGAAACTAATTTAGTGAGTATGTGTCAGAATTGTCAGTTTCTTTTAACTTCTCAGATTGCAAACTGTTTTGGTGACACATTTTGTGTAAGAGTTTGTTAAAAATCTATAGGTAATGGTGTCAATATTAAATATATTGATTTGTGATCTACTGCAAATTTTATATCAAAAGACATTTGCATCTCAAGGAGAGGAATACACTGTGCAATATAACAGTGTTAGGCTTCAGAGCAGCTTTTCAGAAGCATGCTTATCCTTGTATGCAATCACTGTTTATATTAATAAAAATCATATTTCATTCTTCTTGTTTTCTATTTCTACTGGCAATAGAATCATTTGTGTAAGAATACAAACTACCTGAAATTGCTGCTACCCTCAAAATACAATCCAGAGTCCTGTACTTCTTTGACTGTTCATCATACAATAACACTGAAACACCAAAGCCAATACCTAAAATGTAGTTTTTTTAAAAATAAGAGTGTAGGATAAACAGAAGATCCATAATACTTTGTTGGTCTGGTCTGTAACTCCAGTGTGTAAGAGAGTTGTTTTGTTATTTGAATATGCATACATATATATATGCATAAGCCCTTGGAGGGCTTGTTCTTATTCACTTCCAAATACTCCAAGAATGATCATGACCGACGCACTATTTTGAAGTAGGCACATTCTGTAGGTCATTTTACAAGTAAGAAAATTGAAGTCTGTGTGATGCTTACTGGATTTTTCTGAATTCACTCAGCCAATATCAAAATAAAAAAATAAAATGGGAACACATTTGTTCCAAGTGCTCTGTGGTTTCCTGTGTTGCTCGTCATGGTATGTTAATAGCACCGTAGAGTGTCTTCAGGAACAGAGGAGCCATACATGAGCACATAGCCTCTGCTGTCAGAGCTGGTCAGATAGGAGGTAGCTGTGCTAAAATGCTTGACTTAGTTTATCCCCTCCCTCCGAGGAACTTTCTTAGGTCTTTCTAGGACTATAGGTGCCTTGTACCTCAGCCGTTTGTTGTTTCTCTTTCTCACTGCGCTTGTGGCAGTTCTCCCACTCTCATGTGTGGTGAGGATGCTCATCTGGCTGCATTCATATTCCAGTCTCGTGTTTCCATAGCCAGAGGAGTTTTGGAGGCCTGTGTCTGTCCTTTGATTCTTATCACCGTTAAATCCTTTTATGGACTATCTGTCAAATTCATGTTTTCTTTGAAATAGTCTTGGCCTCTTCTGTTCTTGAATATCAAAGTCACTGTTAAAGTTGCACCAAAAGCTGTTGAGAATTCTGTTAGTGTGAAATAGATACTGGAGTCGTGATCTGTGCATTTCAGTCTGATCTATTGTTCTTGACTTCTGAAAGTTAGTGAGACAATTTAAATAAACCAGAGAAGTAAGGTTTGTAGGGACAGTATCTTTCATTAAATCAACTGTTCTTAAATAGTCACAGTACTACTGAAATAAACATTTGTCATTTCATTTTCCAAGCTGTGTAGATGCACCAGTTAAAGTGTGCATGCTAACTCCTGTTTCACAACTGATCTAAAGTGATGTTACAAGCAGGGAAGAATTCAGCTTCTCAGAATTCCCAAGTGATGATGTGCTGAGTGCTGGAAATGGAAACAAAGAGGATAATAATTAACAAAAACACAACTGATCTCTTAAAAGGCACTAAACCTTACCTTGGGTTTTATGATTCCAACAACATCCCTCAAATCTAAGAGTATCTTTTCTCTCTGTCATTAATGTTTTTTGTGTCCAGTTGGAAAGTTGTTCTGAATAATGTATGAATATTGACCCTTCATGTTCTTGCTGATTTTTGAATTAAATATATAACTTTGTTTAATTTTCTTTAAGACTTAAGTAACTGGGGCAGTGAAACAAACATGCTGTTATTTCTTGGGTTGTCTTTTCAGATGCAATTTGTGGAAAAAAACAATGATGCTTTGCACATGTCCCTTGAATCTCTTATATGTGAATCCAAGGACAAGTTTGTTCGTCAGCTGTTTGAATCTAACACTAACAACAACAAGGATCCCAAACAAAAAGCTGGGAAACTTAGTTTCATCAGCGTGGGAAACAAATTCAAGGTAACGTACTATAGCAGAGAATCTTACCTTCTTGTAATATGTGCCACTTTTAAGTTACCTGAAGTAAGTAGAGCCTAAGGTTGGGACATCTAGTGGTAACTTGAGATTCAGATAAAGAACATTTTGTTAAGTAGACCTTTTTTTTCTATTAAGTTATAAGAAACCAGTATACTGAAGCTACGTGCTATGCATTTCTGTCAAAAAGATGTTTCATAATAGTCCTCACAGAGTTTATACAGTAATTTTTAAGACAGAATTTTGCAAAGCCACATGGAAGTCTTTGTTCAAAAGGTTTAAAGTCTTGAGATCTAAATTTGAATTCTGTAGACTTTAAGGGGTTCTAAATGTGACAAGAGGTGTTCTTCCATCCATCGTAATTGTGCATGCTAGAAGATGTATCAGTTGGCTACAGTTTGCCGTTCTCAAAACTCAGTAGTTAACCTAACCAATGTTTTTCCTCTTCTAAAATATAAAGGTAGCCATGGCGTCCACAGAAAGATGTTCATTGTGCTGGATGTTTCCTTTCTCAATACCTGAATCTGATGCTTCTCATTGTCTCCTTTCTTCTGCTTCTTGTAAAGCTGACCTTCAAACTTTGTCTTCTCCAAATGTTTTCTGCATCCTTTTCTCATTCAGCAGTTTTATTTTAGCTGGACTATTCCAGCTCAGGATGGCTAGAAAGAGAACTGTAGGGGAATTAAGAGATGAAAAGCAGGCACAGCTGTGGGCTGCAGGTAAATTTTTCAGTCTCATAGATTTACTGTTGGGAGAGCTGCTGCAATTTCAGCAAGAGCTCTTCTCAATGCATCTGGGCCAGATCCAACAAAGGATGTGTATGCCTTCAGGTCAAGTGCTGCAAGGTTTTTGGTATGCTACCTTACCTAGGGCACCTGAAACCCCACATCACATTCCTAACTAGACTCCTTAGGCAGTCCCTAGGCAAAGCGGCTATCTTAAGTCATGTGGCTAGTGTTTAGAACTGTTGTCTAAAAATACAAGGACTGAAGAACAGGAAGGATATAGGAGCAGCACTTGCTTTTTGTATAGCAACAGTATTCTGCTCAGGTCTATGCTGTATGCAGTGTTTTCTGTCTGCTGCCTTTCCTGTAGTGCCAAGCTATTGGTCTGTATGACCAAGGGGACTCTCCTGGTACCCTTCTGCAGATGGGTTGTTATTTGGTCAGTATGACTATCTACCCTTCTGGAGATGGGTTGTTATTTGGTCAGTGTGACTATCTACCCTTCTGGAGATGGGTTGCTATGTAGCCAGAAATAAAATTTTGATGGCGCCAGGAAGAGCAGTAGACAAAGCCTGACTTCTAGGGCAGTGGTTTTGGTATTTAACTGGGAGTTGGGCAGCCTTCTCTCTTGAGCTTAGCTCTCATGATTATTTCCTCCTCCTCCTTATTAGACAGTGGTTGTAGAATTAAACTGTAGCAATTGGTTTAATATAAAAGGCATAATCAGAAGGCAGACTGAAAAATGGAATTATGTTCAGATAAGCCATCTCCTGAGCAAACCCTGCAACCCTGAGTCTGTTGGAGATGAAGCTGGGATCCGTTGTTTTTTATAACTCTGTTTTCAAAAAGAAACCAACTGTGGGATCTTGGAGATAGTTTCCACTTTCTTCCATCTGGGTTTTCAGTTCCTCTGGGTTTTAGCATCCTGCATCCAGTAGATGTGGACATGTGAATGATGCTGTTGTCCAAGGAAGGCAGAAGTAAAAAGGGAGGCATTTTTTCAGTTAAGCAGCAATCGCGTGTGGAACTTTTTGGATTGCCTTTTGGACTTTGATGTTCACCTCTACACCTAGAACATGACTAAAGTCCTCTTTGGATCTGGCCCATCAATCTGTAATTCTTTCCATGTTTTCAAGTTTCACGGCATTTTGAATGTATGTGTTACTTCCAGTAATTCATTTAGTGTTACCTTCCCAGACACAATATGTGCTGCTGATGAACACTAACACCTTGAAAATTTCACTTCAGATTACTTAAAAATAAGTTCTATTATCTTAGTAGAAATTTCATCTCTTTAAGAATAAGAATTCTAAGTGCATCAGTATGTAAGTCAATCTGAAATTCTTCTAATTATATTAATTGTTAAATGATGTTGTATTAGGGACTTCTCTTTATGAAATCCTTCACACATCCCTTCCTTATAACTAATTAAAATTAATTATCATAAATCACTTGAGGAAATAATGATTAATTAGTTCATCAGATCTACTCAAGAATCTTTGGGATGATTTTACCTTAGTATGGTAGTGATGGATGAAATTGTGACAATTCAAAGAGCAGTAATTTTAGCAATAAGTTTTATTCAGATGATCATTTCAGTAGTGAAATTTGCCTAAGAATGGCTCTGGCTTCTTTCCTGACAAAGCAGAGTATAAGGAAGGGGTATGTCACCTTTAGCAGAAATGTATTTTGTTGATGGAAATTAGGCTGTCCCTTCCAAAATTAAGCATTTCTAACTTAAGAAAACATAAAGATTATATTCAAGTAGAGATAGAAGGAGTTTGTGTAAATGAGAACTGAGCAGGATGGTATTAGTGTTTGTCATGCGTCTTGTGGCACTTCTCTCTTTCTAACCATATCCATGGTAAGTTAAAAAAAAGCCAAACCAGTCTTAACCACTGAAGGACAACTGGCAGCTGTAGGTGACTCATGTTGCCCATACCCATCTGGTTTCTTTAATTCAAGGTAGTTGAAAGATCTGGTTAATAACTTAGTCAAAAGTCAGATCCTTTCAGTTTTGGTTCCAGTACAGAAAATGAGGGATATGTTAGGACAGACAGAATTTTGTCGTGCTTCAGTCTATATACTGAAAGCTTGATATTAAACCAGAAGGGCTGGTACAGCAGTGATCTATGTGCTCAAACAGAGACATCTGTAAAGTAAAAATAGAGCTGCTTTCCTGATGTGATTCTGGAATATTTCAGCAATTACATTCAATAGCAACTGGAACTCGTTATCCCTGATAGCCTGAAGTCTCTGGTGATCCTGTAGACTTGCCCCTGAATAGTCATAGGACTGTGGTCTTTCCTCATCACAGTATGTTTAAATCCAGCCTCAGTAAATGTGATTTTAAAATTATAGTCTGTTGTCACCAACAGAGAACTAAAAGTTTGGAATTTTGGAATTAAAAATAGATTGTGTAGGTTCATTCACTGAAATGTTGACTTAGCTTTAAAAAAGCCCAAGAAAACCCTGGGCATGTCTGTTTTCTGTGTTAATTATTTAGCATACAAATGTATACTTGTTATTGGTTAAATCTGGGCTTTCACAAATTTTCAGTGTATTTTTATTAAATTATTGCTGCTTAATCTAATTTTCTTTGTAATTTTATTACATAGCCATTATTTCCTTTATTTTTCCAAATAGACTTACACTTTTTGTGATAACTACGCTGTAGGAAGTAGCTAGTCCATACAGAATTGTTATAGAATTAGACACAAACAGTTTCTTCAGGACCATTCATGCACACTTGCATGATTTTGTCTGTTAAAGTTTGTGAATGTTTGACTTACCACTTCTGTCTGATTTACTAACAGTGAACTTGCATGCGGTAACGATACACTACTCTGTGTATGTTTCTGTAGTTGTCATGGTAAGACTCTTGAAATATCTGTTTTCTTTTGCAGACTCAGTTGAATTTGCTTCTTGAGAAGCTTCACAGTACTGTAAGTATCTGTACAGATGCAGGTTCATGATTTTCTAACCAAAGCCATAATCGATTATCTCAACAATAGTATGGCTTACAGGCAATGTGATAAGTAATTGCTTTTCAGTTTGCAGTTACATGGCACTTTGGAAACGTTTTGCTGTGCAGGTGATAATAAATTATTGAGTTACTTTTAAAAAAAGCCCCACCACCTTTAAAAAAGTTGTAGAATGAAGGTTACACGATTTGAGCAAACAGTAGGGAATCTCTTTGGGCTGCAGTCTCCTTTTTTGTCACTTTGCCTTCCTTCCATTCACTGGTTATCATTGAGGGTGAATTTGCAGAAGCTTTAGAGATGGTGTTTAGAAGTAAGGCAGATGATAATTTGTAGTTAATTACTGTTTTCAGATTCCATAAAGCCATTAAAAATGAAATGTTTTGTTTCACTTTTTTGTGATAGGCTGCAAATGCACAGATGGTGAAGGAACCTGATAACCCGAATGAGCGTTAGCTGCTTGGGCTGATGTGGTTTGATCGTTTGTGGAATTCTCCACGTAGTTCAACATAAAAATTTTTTTTAGAACTTGGAGTTGTAGGAACATGTTCTTGTTTCTCTTGACCGCATGTTCTAACCAATTCTAGGTATGAGGTTATGCTCTGTCAAAAAAAGGGGGAAAAACCATGGGAAACAAACGGGACAGGCGCTGGAGTGTAGCCAACATTCAGCTTTTTACTGTACTCATGGGGCTGGTCTGGAAGAAAGATGATTGATCTCTTTCACACAAAACACTCTGGAACTGAGACCCGGTCCAGGGTCTCAGTCACTGGGTATGTGGCCAGGCTTGCTGTACGCTGAGTTTAGCTGAGCCGTGACTGAGGATAGATTGTTATACGGAGCTCCCTTGGCGGGTGCTCTCTCACTCTCAGCCGAGAGATGGAAAAAGAGAGAAGACACTGCAAACCAGGAGGAATATTGTGTTTTCTCAGTCCCCCCCGCCCCTCCCTTCCCTTTTTTAAGTATATAAGCTAGGTTATCATTAGCAGCCACCTGTTACAGGAAAATCAGAATAATTGGATGATGATTTGCAAAAAGTCATCCTTAAGGAGTGTGAAATGATCAGAGGAAGAAGGGTCAGAATTGTAGAGATAGCACACATGGTGATAAGAGAGGAGCAGACTGGAACAACGTGGGGAGAGAGTGAAGCTGTGAGCCAAAGGAACTGTAAAAATGAAAGTTAGAAGGAAGGAAGGTCAAGTTCACTGGGCATGGTTCCCATGTCAGGAGCCTGGTAGCACATTCACTGGTGTGAAGTCTGGAGGACTGAGGCATTTAGGTGATGTGGCTGTAGAAGATAAGGAGGGTGGTAGAATCCAGATTGCTAAATCCTCATCAGATTTTACTAATCCTAAGAACAGTTGATTGAAAATTCAAAAACTGAGGATCCAGTTAATAGCTTGAGCATTGAGATCGGTTACATCAAGACCCAGGCTAGAGTGCAAAACTGATACATGAGAGAAAAAGGATGTCAGCTTTTCTCTTTCAGAATACTGTTATTTTGTATCTTTTTTCTTTACACCCATAATTCTTAAATGACTAACTGTGATTTCAGGAGGCTTTAGAATGTGTAGATTCTGCTAACTTCTTCTTTTGGTAATAGGGGTCTAGCTTTATTCGCTGTATCAAGCCTAATTTAAAGATGACAAATCACCATTTTGAAGGAGGGCAGATCCTCTCTCAGCTTCAGTGTTCAGGTAATGTATGCCTCTGGTGTTTTTTCCCTCTGTTTATCACTTTGGGCATTGTAGGTTGACCTAAGCTTGAAATACGTGAGATGGAAGCAGTATTTCCTTGCCTAAACTGTTGCTTTCTAGAAGGTGGCTTATTTATGCCTTATGAATGAGTGGCATTCTGCAGGGGTTGGTACTGGGACCAGTGTGTTTAACGTATTTATTGGCGACGTGGATGGTGGGATCGAGTGCACCCTCAGCAAGTTTGTCGAGGGAGGTGATTCTGCCCCTCTGATCTACTCTCGTGAGGCCCCACCTGGAGTACTGCGTCCAGCTCTGTGGTCCTCAGCACAGGGAAGACATGGACCTGTTGGAGAGAGTCCAGAGGAGAGCCACGAAGATGGTCAGAGGCTGGAGCACCTCCCCTGTGAGGACAGGCTGAGAGAGTTGGGGTTGTTCAGCCTGGAGAAGAGAAGGCTCCGGGGAGACCTTAGAGCAGCTTCCAGTGCTGAAAGGGGGCTACAGGAGAGATGGGGAGGGACTCTGCATCAGGGGGTGTAGGGAGAGGAAAAGGGGGAATGGATTTAAGATGAAAGAGGGGAGATTTAGATTAGATATTAGGAGGAAGTTTTTTGCTCTGAGGGTGGTGAGGCAGTGGCCCAGGTTGCCCAGAGAAGCTGTGGATGCCCCATCCCTGGAGGGGTTCAAGGCCAGGCTGGATGAGGCTTTGGGTAACCTGGGCTAGTGGGAGGTGTCCCTGCCCATGGCAGGGGGTTGGAACTCAATGATCTCTAAGGTCCTTTCCAACCCAAACCATTCCATGATCTAGATTCTTAGAAACTTAGCTCTCATTTTAGTCAACAGAACTATAGAAATTAGAGTAGAAATTAAACAGAACTCAGTATTAGTTGAGGTGTCCAATCATTGAAACACACCTCTTTTCTTTTTATAGATACTGTGATAGAGTTGAATCATTGTTTTACTTTTTCACAATTCCTTTATATCACTGTTAGTTTGATTTGGTGCTGAACTTCCAACAGGGGCACTTCAGCATCATCTTTCCTGTTGCTTTGTGTACTCCAGGTTTCAATGCTGCATTTTCATTATTGACATGCTAGGCACTTCCCAGCTTTACAGCAATATTTTCAAGAGTGAATATCAGCAGTTTTGCTTGTGCCCCATTGAACAGCAGAAGGAACTGCTTGCTTGGGAATTAGAGTGCTGGTATTGTCGTTCTTCATAGGGTGTTTGGTCATCAAAGTACTTCAATATTTTTTTCCCTTTTCTGTATTTTTGTACTTTCAGTAGCTTGGGCTTATTTTCTCTTTTTGAAGTCAAGGTACTTGCAGGTTCTGCAGCTGATGGTTGACAAGCCCACATGTTTTACATGTCATGTTATTGTCACAAAAGCTTATCAACTTTTCAGAATCCCATTAACATTGTTAGTAATAGGTTTCTTGAGGTTAACAGCATTTGGCATGTCAGAGGGTAAAGAATAACAAATTAACTTATCTGCACCACAGCTCACAAATGTCCTTGACATGATGAAGACCAAAGCCTAATTGGGCACAATTTTTTTTTTTTTCTTTAAAAATGAAAATGTCACATCTAGTAAAAAAAAATATGTAGAAGAAATAGTATTAAAAAATCCTCTGCATGAGTGGCTGTTACTTACCTTTGGAAGAGGGAGAAAATTGTAGGGACTCTTCTCATCTGTTCAGTGTCAAGTTTTTGTGAATGATCCCATGATCATAAATGATAGAGGCTGGGTCAAGGTCCAGCGGAACTTTGTGGGGTAGCATCTGAACAATGTATTTGAGACTGATGTCATAAACAACTGGTTATCATAAAAATCTCTGCTTTATTTGCATTTCAATGATACCAGCTTTTGTGCATGTGTTTCTGTGAATGTAGGAATGGTGTCAGTTCTGGATTTGATGCAAGGTGGTTTCCCTTCACGAGCTTCATTTCATGAACTATATAACATGTACAAGAAATACTTGCCCGACAAATTGGCTCGACTGGATCCTAGGCTCTTTTGCAAGGTAAGAAAGAAATTCATTCTTCTTCTATATCATCCAGGACAGAAAATGTATTATGAGGATTTTGTGTGTGTGTGTGTGTTTTTTGAACTCTGGGTTTTTTGTGTTTTTTGTTTGAGAGAGGCAGAACATAATCCTAACTGTTTTCTGTGTTTCAGGCACTATTTAAAGCCTTGGGACTGAATGAAATTGATTACAAATTTGGGCTAACCAAGGTGTTTTTTAGACCTGGCAAGGTAATGTTTCTCAGAGTTCATGAATGTGAATCTTGGAGTAAGTTTTGTTCGAAGGGTCCTCTGAAGGTGACATTGTTCAACACATTGCCAGAAGTGTGGCCAACTTAAATAAGACTGCCCAGGGTTTTTGTAAATACTATTCGTTCGCTATGAAAAAAATCACTAGTTAATATTGACATAATCGGTTTCATAGTCTTATTGCTGATGTTGCTGTGATCCTAGTGCAATGTTTGTGTTCCCAGATGTCCTACCAATCACTTAAGACTTATGTTGACTATTAAAAAGAGCAAGTCAGAGCAAAGAAAAAATAATTTTTAGTAAAATGTGTTTATATCTGAAGTCTCTTTCTATGATGCTGAGCATTGCTGCTGTTATGCAGAGAAGGGAGATGAAGTAGGGAGCTGCTGTGACTAGAAAGGAAAATTATTGTAGTCCCATAAGAATGTTCTTACTGTCATAATTTCCGAAAAATAGAAGTGCAGGATTTTTAGAAAAGGTTGCCTTTAGTTGGTCAAGGTTAAACAAAGGTTAAAAATTGAGAAATGCTTTCAGGGCTTTATTTTTCCCCAGTTACAGAGTTAGAGGTGTCTAGACATTGTGGAAGGCCAGAGTAAGTGCTCAAGATACAGAGAAACGCTTAATTTTTAAAAGTTTTTGCAATAAATATTTTTAGTGATTAATAAAAGGTTGGATTGGTCAAAATGCTGTGTTGCACATCAGTGAAACAAACAAACAAACAATAACCCCCAACAGTCATTGCTATTATCATTAAAGAATAATGTGATGCCAGACATACCTGCTTACTTGAATTAATTGAAAGCTGATGTAATGATGACAGTTTACATTAAAAATACTTTATCTTCTTAACTCAGTGTGCTCTTAAATAATAATAATAATAACAATAATGTCTAACACTCTCTGTTCTCCTAATCTGTAACACTTTTTTATTCGTTATTTAGTTTGCAGAGTTTGATCAGATCATGAAGTCTGATCCAGACCACCTGGCAGAGCTGGTTAAACGAGTGAATCGCTGGCTTATCTGCAGCCGTTGGAAAAAGGTTCAGTGGTGTTCTCTCTCTGTGATTAAGTGTATGTATTTTATGTTTTATTACATCAAAATGTTTGTTAAAAACATAGCAAAGCAATCATTATCACCCGGCAGTGTGGCCAAGGACATTGCTGCTGATCAGCAATTAAGTGCCTGTCGCTAGTGAGCCGCAGTTTGGAAGGGCTTGGGCTGCCCAGTGTGCTGTGCAGAGTGGGAACGAGGCCGTGTGGAACAGATTAGTGCTTGTGGGGTGCCTCAGTGAAGCTGTCAGAGAGATGGGGAGACGTCTGATGCAGGATGGCAGGGATGTATAACAACACGGAGGGTGGAAGGTATACATGAAGATGGGGAAGGAAGGCACCAGGTCCTCATGACTTTGGGACAGCACAGTAATAACCTCTGTATCTGTCACTGGTTGGATGGTATTTGCAGCTGTTCATACTGGGGCTAATAGAATTTGGGAATTCTTATCATATAGGTTTCAGAAGTCAGAGATTTTAATACTAAAACAACATTTTTGACCTAGAAGTTTATGCCATTTGGTCCCTTTTTCAAAAAGATAGGACAGAAAGTCTGTCGCTGTGTCCAAAAAGTAGAAATCCAGTGAAATAATATGCTGGTTTGATGTGCTTTACTTTTTTTTTTTAGTGTTTTTTGGGAAATGAGAAGCTAATTTTGTCCCCAGAATAAAGCTGAAAGAGAAACACAAGGAGTGCATCTTTGTGGTCACCTGAGTCCAGTCGTTAAATATCACTGTGGTCACAAACCAGTGGTCGGCTGGGGACTAGCGGCAGTGTGGATCCTTAGGCATATGTGTTTCCTCCAGTAGAGATGGAAAAACTGCATTTATTGTTGCACTTCGGAGCTGCTCGGCACATCAGCTTGTGCCTGTGCTTTGACATTATTCTGTTTAACTTGCCTCCCAGTCCCAATCGTTAGAGTCTTTCGATGAAGACTGTGTTAGAACAACAGCAGCTGTAGGTTTTGTTTTGTGTTCTTTCATTTCAGTCTTGCAGAGAAATGCTGAGGAAAGCTGCAGCCCCTTGATTATCTCTAGGAGATACTGGCGAGTTCATTGCCCTTGGCTGCAGGACTCAGACCTCGAGCTGAGCATTTCCTGCTTGCCAGGGCCAGTGGCGTTTTGCTGAGGTTGCTGGTGTCTGGGAATCCGGCCGGGGTGAGGGTGTGTGTGTGCAAGCATGCACATGCTGAGTTCTTCCTGTTTGTCAGGGGTGTGAGCCTCTGTGCCCGTCGCAGGACTGGGAATTCTGTTGTCTGCTCTGGCCTAAGTGGTGTGGTTCTGGTGCAGACCTCGCTCTTGAGCACGTGTAGCCTACAGACAGCTCGGAGCCATCGACTGTGTGAGTAACCCAGGGGTTGTGTTAAATTGTATAAACCATTTGAGACTAGTATTTTCTCTTTGTTTACAGTGAAAAATAAGATAAAATACCGAGCCAGTGCCTGCATCAAAGTCCAAAAGACTATTCGTATGTGGCTTTGCAAGAGAAAGCACAAACCGCGGTAAGAGGATGCTCCTTGGTTGAAGAAAATTGATTTTTAATAATATTTTCTTGTGAATGTAAAGAGATTTACTACGCTTGACTAAACACATGTGAAGTCATAGAATGATGTGAAGTATGACTGACAGAGGATTTGAGATGTGCTGTGTTCCTCCTCTCCTTCCCAAGGATGAATAGACCACATCTGAACCTTTCCTAAGAGATGTTTGTTCATAAAATCTTTCAGTGATAGCCTGTTTATGATAAATCCTTACTTAAGTCTCTCTAAATGAAATTTAAGCTCATTAATTTTTGTCCTGTACTCATTCACACTTTCCATTATAGGCCCCCTTTTTTTTATCTTAAAAAGAATTGTGTCTTCTGTCTTGTCTCCTCTTGAAATGAAGAATGACATTAACTTTAATCTGATGGCATGGAATACCGATGGTAAAACCACTGCAGTCACTAAGCTCTGCTGACACCTTTGTGACACCTTTGTTCTTTGATAGAGATCCAGCTCTGTTCTTTAGTAGTGAGGTTCTTATAAAACGTTTCTTTTACAGCCTTTGATAGTTATGTTTCACGTTGTACCGTGACATTTTTGACCACGTCCCTGTGTTTTCAGGGTGTTCTGTACTCATCCTCAGTGATTTGATTCAGGTTCTGCTTTTTGTCTGGTGTTTTCCTGGATCCCAGTTCAGTGATTTATTCTTGGGAACACTGTCCCTGCAGAGCTGTAACTTGTCTGTGGAGCCTTCAGTCTTGGTTCTTTGAGAAACTCCAGGTTTTCCTGGGGTGACTGGGTTCCCTGCTATGTGGTTGAGTTTTATCTGATTCAGTCCTGTTATTGTTCTTTGAGTAAGGGGCACAACTCAACCTTTATCCTCTTCAGTCAGAATCCTCTAGTGGATAGTAATGATTTGTTATTGAAAAAAAACCAAAACAGAAAAACAACGCTACATTAATTCTCAAAACAAAACCGCATTTTTCCATTTTTGAGTCACCATCTGCTAATCAATTTTAGTTATTGCTTGCAAAATGCTCCATTGCTTAGTTCATGTTGGAATTTCAGAAAAGAGGATGGTTTGTATCAGAAGGCATAACTTCTATCCCCCGTCTGCTAATTTAATGTGATTAATGATGGCGTTAAAAATACCACCTTGTAAAAACATCTCGAGGTACAAATCAGCTGTCTTACCTTCCCAGCATCGATGGCCTGATAAAAGTGCGGACGCTGAAGAAGAGGCTTGGCAAATTTAATGAAGTAGTAAGTGCTCTGAAGGAGGGGAAGGCGGAGACCAGCAAGCAGGTCAAGGAGCTGGAGTGTTCTATTGATGCTTTAATGACCAAAATTAAGGTATGATAATAATCCGAGAAATAGTTTCTTATTACTGGAATCTTTTAAAAAACTTAATCTAAAGCAGAAGGCCAATGTACTTTTCCTACCAGAGACGACATTTTAATAGAGGTCTTAATTTTCAGGGGCAGTGGGCAAATCGTGTTTAAAATGATTTCTGAATGTAGCTGAAGCGAATCCTGACAGTGGGTGCATGTTGGTATTATTACCTGTGTTTCAAGGAGAATTTCAAGCAGAAATGTGCGTTGATATTGTGAGACAAGTGTTGTGAGTAATTTGTGTGTTGCTTTTGTTATTGGGATAATGCACGTTAGCAATGTTTGAAGTGATTCAGGGCTGAAACATACAAACAGTTATCACAGAGGGAAGAGATTTATATTCCAGTTCTGAGGTTTTTTTCAGACTTGGTAGTAAAGAGGTAATCAGCTTGCTGATTATGCTTCAGGGTCTCTAGTTCTCAGTTTCTTGCCACGAAAACACACAGACAGAATGAAAGCACACTGGGATTTATTCATGTTAGAAAAAACCTGATAATGTTGAATTTTTGTTTCGTGCAACGTTATAGCAGTCGTAGTGTACTGTATTCAGATTTTTCTATTTAAAATCACGATTGAAAAGATTAAATAGGGTTAACCTGTCAACTTATGGTACTCTGCTGATAAAAATAAGGTAATTTTATTACCATCACAGTACACCCTCAGAAAAGGTCAGCAAACACCCCCATTTCTCAGTTTTATTGGTGTACATCCGTGTGAATTGTAAAATGAAATTAAATCATAGCTATCAACGGGGTTTGAAAACATGTAGGAAAGGCCATTGTTTTAAGTATTTCCAACCTGTTAATTGCTGCTAATACTTTTTAAAAAGAAGCTAGTCCCAGCATGCTCCAATCCTGAGGGCAGCACACAGCAGGAGAAACTGTTCTGTGCTGTGACGGGAGAGGCAGCTGGGAACCCGGCACAAAATGCACAAAGGAGATGAGTTGTCATCTCAGCCTGGTGAGAACCAGTTTCTGTTGCTTAAAACAGCAAGGTTTAAAAAATGAAGGCATGTTTTATTTCAGTGATAAGATGGAGATCACTTTCTATGTTTTTATATGAGAGAGGAGAGTAATGGACCCCCAGATTTTAGGAAGAAAGGGCAGGATGTGCTCCAGCTCCCCCACCCTGGAGTGTAAATATAATTTAATTCTACTGCTTGGTGCTCTCTTTTCACTGAGTATGTTTTTCAATATACATTGTTTTAAAGTGAAGTACAAATGTAAAATAATATAATCCCCTCTTATTATTTCATTTTGCAGACGACTATAATGAGTAGGGACCAGATACAGAAGGAGTATGACGCTCTGGTTAGAAGCTCAGAGCAGCTTCTCAATGCGCTGCAAAAGAGGAAGCAGCAAGAGGAGGAAGCAGAGAGGCTGCGACGCATTCAGGAGGAAATGGAAAAAGAAAGAAAGAGACGTGAAGAGGAAGAACAACAACGAAGGAAGGAAGAAGAGGAAAGACGTCTGTGAGTCTTGAATAAGTTGCTGGTTATAGAATGAGAAGGAGATACAGGAGGCACTTTAAGGAGGTTGTTTTTAATACTGCTGTGCTTAAAGAGAGTCACTTGGGTTGTACTCCAAGTGTGCTATGCAGTGTTAAAACATTTCCTTTCCCAGTGATTTGGAAGGTAACTGTAGACAGAATAGACTGGAAGAAATTATATGATGCAGCTGGAAATACAGATGGACTGGGAAAGTTTCTTGACTTTCCATGGAGTGTCCTGTCACCAGGACTGTGCTGACTTCTGGATTACCGTTCAGTTTTATCAAAGGTGCTTTCCTGTCTCGTGTTCATTTGCATCGTGATGACATGTTTTCATTTCCTCCTCTTTTGTGATAGGAAATCTGAGATTGAGGCAAAGAGAAAACAGGAAGAGGAAGAGAGGAAGAAGAGGGAAGAGGAAGAAAAGCGTATTCAGGTTAATGATTTGGCTGTATGGGGGTTTGGGTTCATTTTGTGGATGTTGGGGTTTTTTTGTGTTTTGTTTTGTTTTTATTATGTTTTAAAAATAGTTTTCACAGCTTAGGTTCTCCACTGAGTCTAAAGGCTTCATTTTATAAATGCGTGTCCCAGAGTCATTCAGCAGTGTTGCTTTAGTAGTAAATAGAAGGGTAAAATCATGACAATCTCTTGGCTTGGAGATTGTCTGGGTGAACAGGGAGAGCAGTCCCAGAGAGAAGCAGCTTCTCTGTAGGGCAGGTGTAGTAAGCGCAGGGCCATGGTCACTGATGTTTACAGGCTCTTTTAAGCCTGGTCCATAATTCATCAGAATTTTCCTCATGTATCTTGTTCTCCCTGGAGTTAGCCTAGCACTGCTTATCCTCCTTGCATCTGTGTACTCTGTTCTGTCACGTCACCCTTGTTCTTGATAAACGAGTCACTGGAACTAACAGAGAAATTAGACTCTAACTTTAATGAAAAATGAATCTTTCCTGCGTTATTTGGTCTGCGACCTGTATCAGGATGGTAAGCACTACCAGTGTGTAGAAGTGAAACATGAAAAGGGTGAGCTGTTATTTGGCTGCTCTCTAGATCATTGCTTGGAGACCATTGCAGGTGTGCCTAGAGTTTGGTGAGAAATCCGTAGGTAAAGTTTCCATTCACTTGGAATGGATTAAGCTTTGTCCACTGGGGAAGCAAGATGTCCTGTTGCCAGAAGGTTTAAAAACTTGGTCTGCCAGCACTGTGAGCATCAATAGGGATTGTTTTTATTTATGTTTCTTTGTTTCTGAGCAGTGGATATCTGCAATGCAGAATGTCATTTACACTTTTCCTTGGAAACGCTGCCTTTGGATACAGAGCAGATACCTCATCCAGGAGGGTATTCCTGTCTGCTGCATGCCGTTAATTACTCATTCTCTCTCCTCCTGGTGGTTGTTGCTATCAGCTGATCTAAAATGGGATTCATAGGGTGAAGTCATGGGGGTGACTGCACGGCTTTAGTGGTGCAAATTCACAGCGATCAGTGGGCAGTGACTTCGTCTCTTTTGCTGGCTTTTGGGCACCAAGACAGGCACTGCTAAGACTTGGTGCGTGCGTCTTTCAGAAGTATGAGTTGGATGTTCCGTTTTTACTTACTGTGTGTGCAAGACCCTTTGTTAAATAACGATGGTAAACTAGAATTACTGCCTCTGCAGAGCAAAGCTGTATATCTGGGTTGCTTCTGCATTGCAGTAAGGCAGAATTTTGCCATTTATTTAAATTCAAAGCCAGATCAGGTCCACAGAGGATTCCAGGGTTTGTCCTGATCCCTTTTCAAAATGAACCACAGACCTATATGCAAAGCAATGACTGTTGCAAAGTCCTGTAATTCCAAGTGCGGAATATCAAGGGAGAGTTGTGTTAATCCTATGGAGGTGTAACCTTATTGCTCTGTATCGTCTGAGTTTTAATGATGCAAAAAACTTTTGAAGTCTAGTTTCCATAATAGCTAACAAAAAGCTTTGCGTGCTTTGTAGATAAGGCACTTTAATTTGCAAAGGTAATACAAGTGGTGGACAATCATGATTTGATAAACTATATGAAAACCAAGATGCCATCTGTAGCTGGTTTGTTTTTCTTGGGCCAAACTAAATACTAATGCTATTACTTTTTCAATTGTGTCAATTTTGCACATTTTGAAAGCTATAAATATATTGGCATATTTCTCTAATCATTTGCTTGTGTAGCATTTTGGTTTTGATTGCATAAAGTTAAAGGTGTGTTTTTCTAAAACAGGCTGAAATTGAGGCTCAGCTAGCTAGAGAACGAGAAGAGGAAACCCAGCACCAGGCAGTGCTTGAACAGGAACGTCGTGATCATGAGCTTGCAATGAGAATTGCCCAGAGCGAGGCAGAACTCATCAGTGATGAGGCTCAGCTTGATTTAGGGTTGCGCAGGTATGGGGTTAAGTTGTTACATTTTTCTCTCTCTCTTTTGTTTTTTTTTTGTATATTTTCCTATTCTGATCCCTTAGAGAAAACTATGCTCCTGTTGGTTTTGTGTATTTTCATATTAATTAAATGGACCTTTTCAGTCAGTGTATTGGAATATTTTTCAAATTAACTTGTGAACTTTGTTGGAAATAGATTGCTTTTGCTTGAAGACTTTCTCCATTTTGCATCTTGCTGTATCAGTGATTTAGTAGGCGCTTGTGAATACGATGGCAATTCTCTTTCTCTTCTTGAGTTCTGGCGAGGATGGCAACCAATTTAAATTATGATTTTTGTGACTCATTTAAAGTAGCGAATGGAATTTCTTCAGTGGTAAGTAGTAACAAAATATGCCCCGTCTGCTACTCGATGGTTCCAGTCGTATAGTGTGAACATGTGTGGGGTGTTTTTAACAAGAAGCCCTCTTTGAATGCAGAAACAGTAGTTATTTTTGTGTCCTGACTGGTGAGTTTTTTGAATTGGAATGAATATATTTGACATAGATGGGTTTGAAAATTAAATGTTAAATTTTTTGTTTGTTTGTTTGTTTTGTGTGAATTTTTTTGATGCGTCACAAGAAGTGCTTGGTGTCTGGTATATGGATCCACACTGCCTGAAAAGCAAGAGCTCTTCATTTGTAAAGGGTGATGCCTTAGCAGCAACCAGTAAAAATGGTACTTACTGGTCAAATTGCATAAAGGTGCTGTTGTGGTTTGGAACCCAGCTAATGGCAAACAAATTCCACACAGCCACTTGCTAACCCTCCTCCCTCCCAGGGACAGGGGAAAGAATTAAAGGGGTAAAAGGAAAAGAGACTCATGGGTTGAGATAAGAATAATTGAATAACTAGACTACAATAAAATTGAAATTATAATGGTAATAATAATAATAGTAATTGGGGCTGTGCTCCCTCCCAGCTTCTATAAACATCAGTACGTTATCAGCCTTCTCAGCACAAATCCAATACACAGCCTCTTACTAGCTACTATGAAGAAAGTTAACCCTGTCTCAGCTGAAGCTGGGACAGGGACCTATGAACATGATCGCATGGTGACTTCATTAGTGCTACTGTCTGTTGTTGTTTTTAAAAGAAGGGGTGTAAGAAAATGCCAAGTGTTTCCATGGAATTTCAAGCTCCCAGATGTGTTCTCTTTGCTACTCAAATTTTATCTAGATGTATATTTAAAAAAAAAAAACAAAACTGTATGCCTTACGATAGCTAGGTAACTTTTTTGTCATGTACAATACTGATTTTTAGACACTTCCACTAAAATTATCGTGCCCTCAGTTACACAGTAGCTGTCATATTGTCTCAGATGAGACTAACATTCCAAGTTGGATGTCCAAGTGCTTTGCAGACAGCATTCTGGGGATTTTCTTGATTTCCTTGTTTGGATTTTTGGTGCAATACTTTGTAGGTAAACCCAAAGTCACTCTAGTGTTGTAACCTGGCAAACTTCTCTTAGGTATGAAAGAAGGGAGGCAATAGACAAGAAGGGCTCAGAGAATTCAATAACTTTTCTGTCAGTGAAGCTCTGATCTCCACAGTGTTTCTTACTGCTCATGGATAATCCTGGTATTTGTCTTCCTTGTGTAGTCCAGAATGGATTATGAATTTACCATCCTGATGGTTACGACTGCCAGTTTTCTCTGCTGTGTAGCGAGCAGTAGGAGAGTGAAGACTCTTTGCTGAATGATTGGAAGATACAGAATGGTCTGAACAGATTAGCATAGTGATGTAAACCCTTCCTTGAACAGGATAATATATTAAATCTAGAAAAAAGTAATAGAGAAATTTTTCTGCTTATATGAGTTTCCTTTTTAGCTCATTAGAAATTTTTTTTCCTTTTGTTTCTGCAGACTACTTCCAAGAGTTTTAAGCACGTCCAAAATTTGAGAAAATTCTTTTAATTTCAGATTTGATTTGATTTGGTTTTGGTTTTTTTAAAAGCAAGCTACAACATTCCCCAGACCCCAGTATCTTCTACTGAAATCCAAGGATAGATTTCTGCATAACTGCAGGAATCAGCTTAAAGGTAGAAACTGTGGGAATTCTCAGAAATCAAAACTATTTAATAATTTGAACATGAATTCTCAGGACTTAGTTTAACTGATACCAATTAGAATTTTACTAGAGTCGAAGGAAGTTAAATTCTGCCATCTATGTAGGTATATTTCCCTTTTCTGTTAACTTTTGCTGTAGTAAAGTAAAGCAAGTGTCACTCTATACTGAATTTGTGCAATATACTGGTTCTACAGTGTTTTCACACAATTTTGTAAAAAATCGTTTCATGCTTACGCGTTGGCATGAATAAAAGGGTATCTTCCATTGTGCTGTACTTCCCGTGGCGTGAAAAGAGTAATAACAAGGATTTTTCTGTGCCACTTTGAAGGAACTCTTGTATTTTGCTCTGTTTTAAGGAACATGTGATACTTGCATGTTTGAAAATGAGTCACCTCTACTTGGTTTCTTTTTTCCTCAATACCGTGCTACATTCACCATTAGCTTTCATAGGTACTTAAAGGTTCTTTGAGAAACTTACTCATTGGCTCCTGTCGAAGGAAAGTTGGTTGTTCTGGCAGTAGATCTGGCATTTTTATTTGTGCTTATTCTGGGCTGGATCTGCTGGAGCTCTCCTAGCTTCCTCCAATTTTATTACTCATCCACAATTTGAAACCATATGTAATAAGGGATTTACTGCACCTGGGGGTAAATTAACAGAAATGCGTAGTACTTCAGTAAAAAATTAGTTAAATAATAGATCCAGACCTAAAGTATATCAGTAGCATGTCTCAGAATCTTTGATTTCAAAAGATGCAGTGGTGGAGAGAAAGGTTGGGGGGTTTTCACTTGTATTTTTTTTTCCAGATTATCTTAATTTAACTTTTGTAAAATAATATAACACTCATGACTGAATGAGAAAGATGAAGAAGAAAGGTCTATATAATTCTGTTTCCCAGTGAAAGAAAAATAAAAAATCCTAAGACAGTAAATGAGATGTGAGAGAGCAGGAAATACTGTGACCCACCTTTCCCCACTTCAGATGGTTAGCATGGGAACCAGGAACTGGTCTTATCTAACAGAAATATCTTCTACTTGCAGAGCCAATGGAACAAAGCTGCAAATGACTGCGTATGGCATTTTTTTTTTCCATTTGAATGCTCTAATAGGAAAAAAAGTAACATTGATTAATTCAAAGAAAATTGATATTTTCTTCTTATTTACTAATACCCCACAATAATCTTTATTTGGCGTGCACCTGTAAACTTTAAATCAGTTTGTAATACCTTATATCCACTTCTTTGCTTATGCCTAATAAACAATTTAATAATCTAATAAACCTAATAATATCTATTTAAATATGATTCTATAATTAGTATAAACTTTTTCACATTCCATCAGTTTTTCACTGCCCTGTGTGATTTATTGCTCTTTACAGAAATAAGGTTGTGTATATATATTAGAATGGAAATTATTTAAAATAAGTAGCCTTTTTTTGTGCACTTTTTGGTTGTCAAGCGATTGTCACAGTTACAAAGGCTGATTTTATATTCATATATTTGGTTATGCTTATTTATCAATTTTCTTATAGGGAACAAATGGCCACAGAAATGTCAGAAATATTGTCTAGGTAGGTGAGAAGACAACACCGAATGAATCAATCTTTTTATTAAAAAAAAAAATCACACATGAAATGGGTTGAACTATTATGAAATGAAAAATAATGGAATCTTGTTTTTTTCTAAGTGCTAAGCAGATAAGTAGATCATTGCTTTCAGATAAGTTTCCTTTATCAACACCTCTTTCCCAGCAATTATTTTTCTGCTATTTTACTAGATTCTATAGAAAAAGGAATAAGCATAGTTCACGTACCCTGGTGCTTTGTGTAATTCTGATAATATTCTTCCCTCTTTCTTTTCTTTTCACCTTTTTTGTAATGCTAATAGAAAACTAGCTTCCACATCGTTCGAAGGAGGATTTCTACAGATTCAACACAGAGTTAATAAAGTTATTTAATGTTAATGTAACTTTGTGCTTTTATTAAGAAAATATTCTATTTATAATTCCCTTCAAATAAAAGCAATTTTGAAAATTACCATGTTGCAAGATATTAAAACCCCTCTTAAGACATCTAAACAAAATCCCCTTCTGAGATTTCTTGAGTGCTAATGCAAGATTTGATGCACAACTCAGGGTGGAAGAATTTAGATCTGAATTCAGTTCTGCTGCAACAGTCTCATACTAGTTTGTGTCAGAATGCTAATTCTCTGTTGAAGGAAATTGTTATGATGTCCTCCGTATCAGGGCGTACTTAGAAAGTGTTTTGTGCAACTTGAGAACAAAAATAACCGTTTGACATTAATGTTCTGAGGCTTACATAAGAAGCAAAATTGTTTAGAGTTTTAAAAAGCAAATCTGTTGTTAAACAACCTGCTATACTGTGTACAGATAGTCTGAAGGTGATCAGTCTCGCGTGATTGATGATGTTTCTAGTTGCAGCATTGATAGTTGGGAAGGCAGCTGTTAACTAAGTTTGTTTCTTGCAGTGGAATAGGAATAAACAATGTGTGTCATTAGCATGTGAATGTAGATGGTATTGCATATACTGACACTGTTCCAATGACAATGGCCAATTCTTAATGTGCAAAAAAAGCACAAAACTTTGGGGCAAAGTCAGAGGCTCTGTGTTTTGGTTGAAATCAAAAATGCAACACTTCTTACTGGATGCTTGTTGTACTAAATTGTTTTCCACTTCTCATATACTGGAAACTTTTGACTTGAGACTGGTTTTTTTGGTTTTTAAGTTTGAAAATAGTGTTTATGATATATAACTTGGTCAGATGGAACAGTGAAGACTGATTGTCAAGCCTGATGCTCTTACTGGCAGCCTTTGGTGCTGACAGTCATGGAGCGACGAGGAGAGTGACCAGCGGAGCGCAGAGCGGTGCGGCCGTGGAGGGGCTAAGCCGTTCCGTGGGATTAGCCTTCTTAAAGATTACTACGTTAACCAGAGTCCTTACAGCCTGCTTCTGCTCTTCTGAATTATCTAGCATACCCTTAGAGTGGTGGGTACTGTTGCTAAATAAGGAAAATCCTTAGGATTTGTCAAATTAGGTTCAAGAAGGTTAGATGCCAGGCAGCGGAAATTCCATTTAGCAGCAATCACTTAATGTCCTACAGGTATGCCAACCGTAACAAAATATTAAAATAGATATTTTGAAGGAGGCTGTCTGTCTAATGATTTCTTTTATGAGTAGTGCTGAAGGTGAGGTAAAGTTCCTGTCCCTCAGCTATGCACTAATTAAAAGTCAAAGAGGTAATTTTTTATGTGTGACTTCTCGCATACCGTAACGGGGAGCTGTGTGGTGACTCAGGTTAGCAGTATGAGTAAGCATAGTTAACCTGATGCTGCAATAAACAGCAAGATTCTGTAGTTTTAATTACATTTGAAGAGATGGTTAAGTCACTATTAAGAAGTACATTTGGTTAAACAGATTTATTCTATTAAACTTAAAAATAAATGGCATTTGTTATCTCTGCTTTCAGAACTGCTGTATCTACATAGAAAAATTCTGTTACAGAAAATGTTTTCGTAAGCTGTTAACTAAAAAGGGAAAATAAACAACATAAAACTTCAGAGTCCCACATGAGACCTTTATGGAAAAATAAAATTTAAAATAATATTCACTGGAGTATAAATACTAATGTAAGGGTCCCACCACGACAGTGCTGCAGAAGCAGACGTTGGCTGGAACGGCCTGGCTGCTTCTGGCTTTCTCTCTTGGGAGTTTTTAGTGTGGCACATTGCATCGAGTATTTTGTCACCCTGTTAAAGATCTAGTTTCTTCGGAACAAATCCTCTCAGATTCTGAAAGGTAATTCAGTTTGCCTCCTGTTCTTAGTCAGGGGCATTAGCTGTTGGTGGAGTCATGTGCGTGTCCTTGAATTCCTCCGTGTTTAACGAGCATTCTGATCATCACCGAATGCTGGAGCTTCTCAAACTTCGTTTCTATCCAAATAATCCATGGGAAGTCTGCCATTCCTAAGGAAGAGTTCTTCCACTTCTTATCCATGGCATTTTTTAGGAGAAAAAAAAAAAAATCCAGGTTTATCTTTGTCCATCTACGTGCAATATTTGTTCATTACATGAATAACTTCATGCGTACCGTTAAAGATGGTGGAGATTTTAGTTAAAATTTCTCTCTTGCATTTGACTTTGTTGCATACTGCCTAGAGATAGATACCTTTTGCCTTTGCAAACAAAGACTCTGGATGAGTCTTTGTACTGGCCAGCCTTCCTGCTGAGACCTCATAATGACTCCCGAATAAATATTGCTGTTTTCAGACAGCTACTATATAGTTAATATAGAATTTATTTGATTTATTCTCTCAAATTAGATTTCTGTCAAAGATGTGGAATATTTTCTCTAGTCTCAGAACAAGGAGTTTGTTGTAATCCAGTTTTAAACAGCAGAGGAAATGCCTTTTCTCCCTCCTCCTTGTCTACTTCAGAAGTACTTTTCCTTGTTGTTTGTTTTTGGGTTTTTTTTTTTTTAATGGATCTAAAAATGTGTATGGCCACTCTTTCTTGTCCGTATTCTGCATCTTGACTAGTACTAAGAAAAATGTCCATCAGCATGGGATGAGGTACACGCAAACAGAATATGTGTGTTTTCACACCTATGCGCTATTAATGACAATTCCTTTTAGTCTCTAGGCAACCAATCAGATTATTCTGTGATATGGGATGTAAAAGATGCTTTCACTTTTCCTTAATTATTTGAACGTCTTGAAAATAGTATGGTACTTTGCCTTTGAATTCCATCCCTCTGTTGCTGATTTTCATTGTAATAAGCATGCTGCAGTGTTTGTGGGATCTGTTCCTCCTGTTGTAATGATTGCTGTTTGAAAAAAATATGTATTTTTGTTTAATAATTGTAGGGGTCCTGCCGTTCAAGCCACAAAAGCTGCTGCTGGTACTAAGAAGCATGATCTCAGTAAGTGGAAATATGCAGAGCTTCGTGATACCATCAATACATCCTGTGGTAAGTTGTTTTTTGTTTTTTGGTTTTTTTTCTGATTTGAGAAAGAAGTCAGGTTGTAGTTGTATGAAATGTTACTTTCTTCTTGTGACAAAGACAAAAACTTGTTCATGCCTTTATTCAGGTCTGAATGAATGTCAAATTAATTTTAGAAAGTTTTATTGCTCCAAAGAGAAGAGCAAACGAAACCATTTCCATATTGAGGAAAGAGAATTTCCTTTGTTACCTCCTTTACTGATTGTGTATTTATGATGTTAAACTGCTTGGGCCACACAATGGTATAATTTAATGAAATTGTCTTGGTTTTATGTATATCCACAAAGGGAATAATAGTTATTAATGTTTACCTAGAATTTGTTTGTTTTAAGAAATTTTTTGCTGTCGCTTATTGCTGTGTCCCAAATCACAAAAAACCAAATATGCAAAGCACAGAATAAAATATTTTCTGTCTTAGATGTTCAGATTATTCTTTGATTTTCAAAATGTTTAACTTTGTTTGGAAAGGTCACAGTTAGGACATTAATTACTTTTCCCCCAATGTTATGAAGATAGAAACATATAAGAATTATTACTTGCTTATTCCTGCTTCTGTTTGAAAGCAGTTGTATAAATTATGATTTAAAATAACCTGGAATTTTTCTCTGGATGTAGAAATTGGAAGAAACCCTGTTCTCTCTATTTGGATTGAAAACCCAAAGTTGGCCCCATATCTTATCTGTGTGTCTGCTGTTTTTACGTGTGTAAGGCTGGAGTTCTGTTTTCAGCGGAACAGGTGGTGCAGTAACGCACGGTGCCGGTCTGTGTTCAACTCCAGTGAAGCCAGTTTGGGTGCTCCTGGGTGACTAGTGAAAAAGCCTTGGAATTCTTCAGTCTCTTAGTATCATGAAATTCATCAAAATTAAAATATATTTAATAAAGTGGAAAAAGAACCTACATCTGAGCAGTCAAGTTGCTGATTTTCTTTTTTGCAGTTGCAGAAATAAAAGTTCAGCAGTGAAATTTTCTCTGTCTCTGTACTGTTTGCCTTGTTATAATGTCAACAGGCAAATGCAGCAAAGTGGAAATTTTATTTGTAGCATTTTACTGCTCCAAATCTCACAGTAGAACAGCTACTTTGGGGACTGCCATTCCTCTAAAGGAGAAGAGGGGCTATAGCACTCCCAGGAGCTTTCTGGACCATAAAATACAGGCACTGTTGCTGCAGAGAATGAGGGTTTCTCATATTATATTATACTATATTATAATATTATATGATATGATATTATATTATATTATATTATGTGTTACAAATGGATCTAAAATTATGTACCTATCAATATAGAAAAGCATTTCATAAATAATTTTTCTGATTTTTTTCACTTCTACCTTCCTTCCTTATTTTTGAGGCAGACATTGAACTGTTGGCAGCTTGCAGAGAGGAGTTTCACAGAAGGCTAAAGGTGTATCACGCTTGGAAATCCAAGAACAAGAAGCGCAACGCAGAAACAGAACAGCGTGCTCCCAAATCAGTCACAGACTATGGTGAGGAGAGATAACTTTGTGTTTGTCATCATTTTGGTGACAATACTCTAAAGAAAACTTTTCTAAAAGGTTGAAGGAAATTCTTGGGGGTTTAGGGTATTTTTCTATTGATTTAAGGTAAATATGTTGAAAATATTTGAACTGGCAAATAGGTAGTAGAAAGCAGAACACTTTCAGGACACCCCGATATGTGTACTGAAGAGCTCTCCCTAAAACCTTTTCTCATACCAACCCACATCTGGTAAAAAAGTTCTTGATTTGGTGGCACTGTTGCTGGCGTTTTTGCTAAGTGTTCGTTGCTGTGCTGCTTGAGACTAAGGAGGATTATTTGCTGTTTCTGAGACTGTGGTTTGCATATTGAGGCTTTTGAGACCCTGTTTATAAGGTTGTTCATACTATTTCTGACTTCTGTCATTACAAATATTGGTTTCTGAGAGTAGTTAGTGATAGTTCAGAGCAGAGAATTACACCGAAGGGTAGAGGAGAGAATCTAAAACCAGTTCTCAAACTGTCCATCTGTCAGAGAATCGCGTGGGATTTTTTTGGTGCTATGAAAAACAAGATTGGCAGGGATCATACTCTGTTATGTCATACACTGTTACACTTGGGGTCCAGACAAAACAAAAAGCATTAGTGATAAGGGGTTTTTTTCTCACACTTTTGTTCTTTTGTATGATACAGATGTATAGACATAGATTTTTAAAAGGTGCTAAGAATTTCCTCATTTACATTACTGTAAGTCTTATATATTTCAGGTCACATTCTCTTTTTTAAAATTGTAGAAGTGTTGACATTGCAGTTTTTGATTATGGGATGACAAATTTTGCATCGTCCCTGCTTTCTTACTAGACTGTCATTCTGCTGATTTCCCAGATGGGTGTTTATTGTCAAAGCAATGCACTAATGAGAACGAGTGACTGCCTTTTAAATTCAACACGAAGGTGTAGGAGTTCCCATGTTTAGCACTGCCAGACCTGAACATTAGGTGCCCGGTTTCTGGAGGGGTATTTGCAGAGTGGACAGTTTTGCTTGCCTCACCACCCCACCCCCCAAGTCCAGTGATCATCTGTTAGAAAAGTTCTAAGAAATGAACAGAATCCCAGCAAATGGATACAATAATTGCGTCAGATCTTTCCTGCTGTCTTCTGGGTCCATGATTCTTCTGTTCCTGACCACAGAGTTAATGAGAGAGGCAGAGGAGAGGGAAGCTGGGAGGGAAGATGCTCTCCCCACATTCCCGTTAACCTGGGACCTGGGGGATGCAGATCCCAGGGATACAGTGTTCCTGCTGCCTCTGGGTTAGTCCTTAGACAAAGGTGTCTCCTTCCCTTCGATTCCTTTACAAGTTGTGCAGTGCCTGAGCATTACCCGGGAAGCTGAGCTTTTTGGGGAACGTTGGTACAGCTGCATGGCAGGTGAAATCTGGACCCCTGGAAAAGGTGTTATCAAAGAAGGGGTCCTTGAGGCCATGCCTAGGAATGGGGTTTGGAGTGCTTAGGGAAGCTTATGTCTGGAACAGCAGGAAAAGGCACTTGAAGCACTTCTGCAGAGTGGTAAGTTGCTTTGGATTTGAGCTTGCAAGTTCTGACTGGACCTAAATGGGTAAAATAATTATCTGTGCACAATGCTGCTGCTGGGAAGTATCAAAGAGCAGAAAATATTTGGATTTGTGCAAATTAAGCTTGGAATATTCATGATCTCATTTCGTTAGACATTTACAGCTTGCTTTTCCATGTTTTTCATTACATTTTTTTACCTTTCTTGAAATATGGTTTTAATATTTCTGAAGAAAAGTTAGAACATTGCAGTTGAGAAGAAAGTCACTGATAGTGACCTTTAGGGACTCTCATTAGTGTCAGAAGTAATTCTTCCCATCGCAAATAATTACAGTACCTGGGTATTTCACATCTATGTGTTACAATGATCTGAGAAGGCAGTAAGAAGGAACTCTGATTTCTTTTGAGTCTCAGTGGATGTAGGCTTCAAATTATGTACTTTCTTCTTTCTTTCTTTCTTTTCACTGATGTCATATAATATTACAGGTATCCTTTAATTAAATTAATACATTCCATAGAGAAGCTAAACACTTGTTTGTGTTTTATTACTGAAATAGGGAGATTTAGTATTAATAGAGATCTGGAAATTTTTTCCTAACAGAAATGTCAAAAATTAAAAGTACTACATTAAAGAACTAGCAGATTTTCTACAGCAATCTGTGTTTCGCATGTACTCAGCTGGGGTTTTGTTACAAGCATCACAAATCATGGAAGTCATAAATGTCAAAATTAAATCCTGATGAAAACAGAAGCAGTTGGAAATCTATTAAACTTGAGGAAAGGAGCCAGTTTGTATATGTCAGTGAGCAGAGGATGGGTAGAAATACTGAGCTCAACATCTGTGTTTATTTTGTCGCTAGAATTTCCATTTTTCTGTCATCAGCGTTGGTGAAAAATGTTGAGATAATGAAACTGTGACTTATAAAGGATCAGCACTTTCATGTTTTGTTCAACATGTAATGTTTGTTCACAGATTTTGCACCATTTTTGAGCAACTCACGTAAGTGGGGAGATGGTTCTTGAAAGCTAACTTCAAAGAATAGGAACACTTGAGAGCTCTGTACTAACCTTTGTCAATCCAGTGTTTTGCTACACACATACATAGAATGTAACTGTTCAAAAAAATTCAGTTATACGATTTGGCAATGTTACTCAACTGATGGTAATTATATATTCCTCAAGTAATTTCCAAATGTACTTTATTGCTTCTCTTCATGAGATCCTTCCCCTTTGAGCAGTCATGGTAAGGGACAATGAAATGACCTTTTTATGTAGGTTATTTGAAGGTATAATTTATTTTTATTTTCACCCACCACCTTCCCCCAGCCCCACCAAGAGATACCATACTTCTTCTAACATTTCTCACTATCTGCACATGGATATGTGTTGTAGCAAAACTCTGGAATCAACTTACTATAACAAATGTTTTCCTAGCATACAAACTAACATTCAGGTGATGGTTTCTTTTGAAGAAAGAACTCCATTTCCATAGCACTGAGAAGCAGAGGCTATATAGACTGCTTAGATTCCTGCCCTCTAGATTTTCTCTTGGATTTAGCTATGTGTAGGGGTAAAAATAAGCCGTAGCAATTACCATTGCAGTGCAAAAAGTGTTGGACAATACTCAAGCACTGATTTGCTGTGATTGTTTGCAGAAAATAGAATTAATTTCGTACAAGCTGTAGACTGTGTCTCCCTGTTGTAAAATACGTGCTTTATCAGAGGTGATGTGTAAAACAGCATTCACCTATTCGAATCTCTTTTGTTTTTCTTCTCTTTGTTTATGTAGAAATGGAAAAAAATTTGGGGGGGTTATGGTTTATGTAGTACATTTATATTTCTTTAAGATTCTTCTCTTCACCTTTAGAAAAACTATTTTTTTCTGGAATCTAAGTACAAGAAATTTCAAGGTGCACTTGCTAGTCCATTTGACTTGTTCGTGAGTGCAAAGATACATTACTAGAAGTGATTTTTTAATTTTACTAGATTTTAGCTCAAAAATTAGTTTTGCTGCTTAATAGACAATGGATAAAAAAGGAATTAACTTTTAATTATTCCCTGTATGCTGAACCATGGGATTGTTAATACTGATTTTCTTTTATAAGGATGTCGTAGATTCACATTCATCATTTCTGAGCCAGGGTGTTTGTAACAGTGGTGTTGTAAAGCACTAAAACAGGAGCAGTAATGAACTTTTGCAGGAGGCAATCATTAGAGGAAAAGACCTTGCTAGTAAGAGCATTTACTGATTAAAACTGATTATAATAGTGTGTACATAGCGTTAAGAAGGTTGATCAGTTGATAAGTTAATACAGAGAGTATCTGCTCTTACTCGAAAGAAAGTTTCTCTCCCAAGTCTGAAACATGTTGGGACAATGCCCATGGGAGCTGTTTACCAGAAAGAGATGTGATTAACAGATTTCATAGAACTCTGCCTCCTCTAGAAGTTTGGTCTGTTGACCTTAATAGGCTGAAATAACCAATTTCTTTAAAAAAGAAAGCATCCGGAGTAGTTCCATTGCGGGAGTTAGGTACACAGAAATCTAGGCAGAAAGTTCTGTTTGGTGTCAGGTTTGTAACAAGCAGTGGTTGTTGCCGACATTTCTCTTAACAAATTAGTAATTTCTAACAATATTACACACCCTTCAGTGTTGCCTGTCTAAAATCTCCAAGTGGAGCTTTGTATTTTTGTAACTGAAGATGCTTCTTTGCAGGGTGACCTTGCTTTCCAAAGGGAGATGGCCTGAGCTAGAGCAGTTACTGATCGGTGTTTCTGCCTGTTAAGGAATTTTATGTAGGAAGTTTTACCTTAAATATTGATTTAAAGCCAAATATGTTATTTTGCTCGCTCTGTGTTGTCTAAACGTACCTTATGTCATTGAGCAACCCAGTATTACCTATAGATACAACAGATACAATAGCTACAGTGCTGTAGCTGTAGTGATTAAAAGAATGCACTTTATATAAGATGGGAATATTTTTAGGTTTGATGAGACTTCAGATGAGCTTGCATTCAGAGAATCAGTTTTTTGGGGGTTTGTTTTAGAGTTTTTTTGGTTGGTTGGGTTTTTTTGGTTGGTTTTGGGTTTCTTTTTTTTATTTTTTTACTTTGCTGGTTAATCAAGGAAATCATAATATATCTTTCTTGTTTTTTGTTTTTTTGTTTGCTTGCTTTTGGGGGGGTTTTTGTATGATAGCCCAACAGAACCTGACAACCCAACTACCAGCCAGACAACAAGAGATTGAAATAAACAGGCAGCAGCGTTATTTCCGCATCCCCTTCATCCGTCCCGCGGACCAATACAAAGATCCCCAGAACAAGAAGAAGGGGTGGTGGTACGCACATTTCGATGGGCCCTGGATCGCTCGACAAATGGAACTTCATCCCGACAAAGCACCCATTCTCCTTGTGGCGGGTTGGTATTGCAAGCCAAATGAAAATGTTGAAAAGATTCCGAGCTGATAACTAACTTCAGAAAAATAAGCTGATGGTACAAGTTTCCCAGGTTGTATCTTTTTTTTCATCAGCAGTTCGTGTCTGGGCAGAATCTGAGGATTTGGGACTGCTGTTGATGGTGGCTAGTGTTATGGGATATCATTTGTAGATGTAGCTGGGCACGTATTTCACCTGTACGTGTGCTTTGATCTGGGCAGTCATAGGCAGAGTGGGAATCCAAATGCAAATGGTTTGATTCTTGAGTGTCCTCAGATTTACTGAACTGAAGACAGAGTGAAGACAGAACATCACAGTTTATCTGGGAAAGTTCTGCTTATGGTTGTATTGGTTTCGAGTTAGCTTTGAAAAACCACAGCGGCTTGTATCGGAACAACTTGCGCGTATGGGATATTGTCTTTCCGTAGCATGGGGCTCACAGCAAACTGATGCCATGGGAGAATAGCTTTGTGATCTCAAACATTTGAAATAAAAACTACATGTGGCAATGGGTAGGTAGAGATTTATCTAGTCATGAAGTGTGTCCTCCTTCTCCGGAGGATAATGAAAGGGGGAAAAGACACTGGAGCAATGCTGTTCACAGCTCTGTGGTTTGAGTTTTTGTATTTAACTTGAGGAGTGATTCCACTCAGCAAATAAGAGCTAT